TGCCAATCCCGGCCCCCCGAGCCGCCCCTCGCTGCGGCGGCTTCACCTGCCCCGGGTGAGCACGGAGGGAGGGAGCCTGGGAACCCCGTAAAATCTTACTCCTACTTCCTTCCTATTACTCCTGAGCAGTAAGATTTGTATCTTTCTCTTTTTCTTGGTGTTTTATTATTTCATGTAGCACTTGTGTTTTCAGGCAGCAGTAATCACCCTAGTTACTTAGGAAGGCATTGCCTGATGGAGGTACCAAAATGCCTTTAAAATGGGAACCACAGAACTTAGTCATGCCAGCAGTCTTAAGTGGATCATACAAAAGATTAACTTAAGATTAATTCAAGATTTTTTTTTTTAAAAAAATCAAACTTCTGAATCTGTTATTCTGAATGTTACAGGGTGTTTGTCGTAATAAGACTGGTAGTTGCTAATATAACTAATAAAATTTCTTTTTTTTTTCCTTAGCTGAAGTCTGCGGGCAGATTGTAACTTAGTAGAACTGAATTTCTTAAGATCATGCTTCTCTTTCATTTGAGTTAAAGAACAGTAGGAGTTTTCACAGTAATTTTTGTGTGTTTTTTTTTTTGTTTGTATGTCTTTGTTTGTTTTTGTTGTTTTAAGATGAAATGATTAAAACCATTTTGACCTGTGAAAATAGTCTTAAGGAGAGCAAGACACTTTCTCTTAATGAAGTTGTAGGATTTTTTTAGCACACAAGTGTTATGTAGATTAGTTTTAAAACACTTGAATAGGTGATTTTTTGGTTCTTTTGTTTTAACTAGAAAAATACATTGATCATAGATGTCCAGCAACTTTCTTGAATATAACTTTCTAGTGAATGATCTTTCAGGCCTCCTTATGTCTTCAATGGAGAAAAAGGATGAAAATGCTAAGCAGAGGTCTAAGGCAGAGGAAGTATTTCCATGTGAATATCAGGAGAAGAGTTCAAGCATGTCACCATTTAGCACCAGATGCGAACCTACAAAGAGGTCAAGAAACTCTTCCACAGTGAAACTTGAAATAAAACTTGAAGACTCTGATGATGAATGTGATCTTGTCATTGATGTGCCCCCACTCACTCTTAATAAAAAGCCAAGAGTAACTAGATACTGTGAAAACAGTAATAAGGATGAACTGGCTGCCATAATATGTGCAGAAGAACTGTATGCTAATGACATAGCAAACAGTCCCTCTAAGTGTAGAGTAGAAGAATCGGAGGAAATCATCACTTGTCAAAAGAATGATGGGAATTTAAATAAGTCTAAAACACTAAATGATGTTTCTCCAGAAACTAATAAGATATATTTGTCTGATGTCAACATTGAAATACCAAAGTTTTCAGATAAACTTATGGTGAAAACAAATGCTTTTGCATATTCCGAGGAAAAATATAGGTCTTCAGCAATTTGTCTTGAAGCAGGCATGCAGAAGGAAACTCTGAAACAAGAAAATGCAGAAGCTAATATGCCAGCTGAAGCATCTGTTCAGGGTCATAGCCTTGATAACAGTATATCCAGCAAAAGAGTAGCACAGTCTGTCTTGAACACTGGCTACTCATTGAGAGAGAAAAGCGTATTAGGAGGAGATTGTAAGGAAATGATAATAAATATAGGGAGGATTCAGAGCATAAAAGAAAGTACAGGTAATGATATTCTAGAAGACACATGCCCTTATCTGGCTGATTATTTAAATGTGGGCAAGGAGGTCTGCTATAAAACAGACCTGACTAAGAAGAGTAATAAAAAAAACCTTGTTGAAGTTGCATGTGCAAACAAAAAAACTGAAACGATAATATTTGATTCGTCTTCTGAGGAAGAGGAATCTCATGAGGAGGATACAGAGCTCTCGGAATCAGATGATCCAGTAGAAGAGTGTCGGAGAATTTTCTACGAGTTTGAAAAAGAAATGCAAAAGAAAGATGATAAGCAGGTATTTTGTTTTGCGTTCTCTGCTTGCTTTTTTTTTGTAAGCTTATGGGGAAGTGAAACTGTTTAGTCAAGTTCACACATTCTGTCCAATGTTTTTGTTAGTAAGTGCTAAATATTTGAGCCTACAGGACTAGCAGAGAAAGGTAAAAGGAATTGTTTGTCATTTTTAGACTAGCTTGATAATGGGAAATCTACATGTTTACTGAGGCAGAGAACTGCCCTGAATTGCTCACTTCTTTTGGATGAGATTTCTTAGTCTTACTATAATATGCAAAATTATTGCACATCTAGTAGTTCCCTTTTCTTCTCAAACAATTTTATGAACTTTGAATACTGCTGCCTAAATTTTGACCTGAACGGTTCTGAGTGTAAAATAAGTGCTTTGACTGTGAATATTCTGATGTGCTGAAGTAATAAATATTATTAAATTCTAAAATCATTGGCCTAAACAACCAATTCTTATTTTTAATAGGCACTTGGAGAAGGTATAGATTTATTAAAAACAGAAGAAAATGTTCCTGTACAAAAGAAAAGAATTGCACATGCCACAAATCTTAATGTGAGTTGTAATCTTGTAATAGGCTGAGGTTTGACGTAGCTTCATTTAATATCAGTAGACCCATGCTGACCTTGGTTTTGCTGGGGTTCTGTCTTGTAATCTAATTGTAAAAATACTTTAAAATGAATGAAAACAAACTATTCATAACTGCTTCTCCTAAATGTTGTTGCAAATATGTAATCTTGTAGTAGTTAGAGTTGGTTCCAGGCATAAGTGAAGTCAGCAGCTGCCTGGACCTGCTGAGACTAATGAAGAGAGCCTTGAAAAGTCATTTTGAAGTGTGAACTGGTATTATGAGCAAACTGGAAGTGTTTCTTACTCTGCTGTCACAATACTTTGAGTGACCATATTAAGGCATATTCTTTTAAGCCTCTTACCTTCCCAGTGTTCCTGCAGCTTTGTCCTTTTCGAGCTGATAGCAGATTGAGTTTTAAGAAGTAATGTTCGCGCCATCATGCTGTGAGGTAGAATTGCTTGTATGTTAACTCATCTATTTTTGTGTGTATGCATAACAGGTACATAGCAAAAAAGAAATTGTGCCTTTCAGAGCATCTTTACAACAGAGTGATAGTGCAAGAATCCAGCAGGAAGCAATGGAGTTCACAGCTGTTGGTAAAAATGAACAAGCTTTTGTTGCTACAACTTCTGGAAAGAAGGAACCTGTGTCTGTGTTGTCAGCTACTGAAGTTCAAAGCATAGGACCAATGGGTATGACAATGTCATCTATAGGTTTGACAAACTAAAGTTTGTTTCACGTCAGATTGGCATCTCTTGAATGTGTCTCCTTCACTTGGCTATGTGAAAGTAATTTGAGAGTTGAATGATGGTAGGCGGTTAGCTTTTGCAGCTAGCCGTCATATCCAAATGAAAGTATTTGGAAGCCTAAGTTGATTAGGGACAGGTCTTTGTGTTAGAATCTTTGTGCAAAACCATTTTGATCAAAATCCAAGTTGTCCTTTGTAGGACATTTTGTGGAAAAACACTTGGCAAAAGTGAATCTAAATGTTTCCTAAGTTCAAGATATACTTCTGCAGTTTACTTTTCCTTACCTTACCTTACCAAAGCAACTGTGGAGTACTCAAATTGCAGAAACTGCAGATTTATTTAATTAATTTTGTTTACTTAATTACTGCTAGGTATTAGCAGTAATTAAATTAACAGGGATTAACTTTTAATCTCTATCTTTTATTTTTTTCAGCTTGTTTTAACTCGCTTAAAGTTCAGCCTATTGAAGCCAGTAGCAGTCAACTGTGTGTACTACTTGAAGGAAATGTTATGACATTAGTGCCTTGTAGACCTTCCTTTAAAAGAATTGTTCCTGTGCAGAGTAAGGTACGTAGAGTTACTGTTGCAGAGCTTGTAGCTCTAGATGGTGTGTGCCTGGGAGCTGAAGTGAGGAAACTTATTAATTGAAAACAATAGTAGATACCATGGATTTTATATAGCGTGATATACCAGTAAAACTTTTTTAAAAAATACTTACTTACTGTATGCATTACATGTTATTTTCAAGTAAAGATACTTGTATGCTTTGCAGCAACTCCAGCAGTAATGTTCAAAGCAATCTATTGGCAGAAAATCAGCTCAAGGATTCTACCTGTTGTTTATAGCTGTTGTCCATTTACTAATAGCTGGTGCATTTTTTAATGACAAAAACAATTTTTCAGTTCTGTAATTCATGAGAAATCAAACACTTCTAAACCTTTATATGCCGTGTTTCTCAGTAACTGAACATTGTCCTCTCATGCATTGTTAGGACACCTACTTCCAGAAATCTCTGCAAAAAATAAGTTGTTTATAGCAATTTCTCCAAAAGAACTTATACCTAGATACAAATTGCCCCAGGTCAACCAACACTTACATATCAAAAAGAAAAAAGGAGAGGTAACATGATCAGGAAGGTACATTTCCTACATTCAGCCTATGCTTACTCCTGTAGTTTACCAAATGCAGGGAAATTGGGCTGAATAACTTGCAGTAGTGAGAGAACCCATTTGTATTCTTCCCTGCATTCAGTATGGGGAAAAAGAAACAACAGCTCCATTAATTCTCTAACATTCTATTGGGAGATTTGCATTATTCTAATGGCAGCTACCAATGTTTTTCTGATTGATTAAATCAAGCTAGTGTTCAAATTACTACAAGATTTTCTTTCTAATTAAGACTGAGAACTAATGACTTAATTCTGGGTATAGATATTGTACATTCTTATTGAGTACAAAGTCTTGTTTGCTTCATGTTTATATTTCAAGTAAGCATGTGCAGGATGGGATGCATGGCCCACTAAAGTAGAAAGTAGGTAGGAAAAACGGTAAGCATCACCCTCTATCTGTTTTGTATGCAAGAAAATGTATGAACTGTTTAGTTCCTGAGTAGAGGCTTTGCTACATGTTGACTAGATATGTTGTTTGGTTGTTTGGTTTTCTTTTAAGGTTTCTACTGGAAAAAAGCTTTCCATTCCAGAATCAGGATCCAAAGTACCACATGACATAAGACAGAGATATTTCAGTTTCTTTCTTGAAGAATGCTTCAAAATTTGTGGCACTGTGAATGAAGCTATTGATAAGGTTTGTAGTGTTTGGAAGTGTTATAGGTCTCTACGATTCCTTTTCTTAATGAATGAAGTCAATGTCTTATCCTGCACAGTGTGGTGGTGTTTTTGTTTTTGTATTTAAAAGATGACCATTTCAGCCTTTTCAGCAAGCAGAAGAAAGTTAAAATATACTGAATCTTTTGCTTTTCCCATTCTAATTAATAAATTCCAGTTTTCCCTTAAAAAAAAACTTCCATCTTTAGCACTACTGACTGTCTTCTAAAATGATATGAAATGTAACAAGGAAAACAGAAAAGCTTTCTTTTTAAGTAGGAAAATACAAAATAAAAAATCTTCATGGAACTATGGAACATTTTCTGGAATGTAAATAATGATTTTGAGGTCAGGGCAGGAAGCAAACATGCTCTTTAAAAGTAAAAAATAAAAATAAAATCATTTTGATCTGCTAGTTACTGTTTACATACTAGCAAGCAATGCTCAAATTTATAACCAACAGATACAGGCCAATAGGCACATAGCCTTCAGATGCTCTGAATTTTTTGTATGCTGGAAGTTGAAAGATTTTCTTATGAAGGTGTTCTGATAAGACTTTATATGTGTGAAACTATACCTCAGGTAAAATATTAGATGTTACGGCTCTACTACTTATTCTGCATTCCCTATATCATGCAGCATATCTTCTGATATCTTGTCCCACAAAATGATGTTTCATATTCTCGGGAACTTTCTGGTATTTATCTAAGACTCCTCAGCTTCCCATCTTTCCCTCTGCTCTTTGGACTAGCAAATTACAGCTGCTGCAATGTTTCTGTTGGGAAGCTCCGTTTAAAGCTGAAATAGGCTTATTTTCTGTTATCTATATGGATGGTAAAGAGTGAAATAAAACCCAAGAGGGGAGGGGTGGGGCAAGGAGACAGAAACCCTTTTTCCTCCCAAAAAGATGAATAAACCACACTTTTTATTTCCAGTGTGGTGTTTTTCTTCGCAGTTGCAGAGCTGAAATGATATACTGTAATTTAATCTCATTCTCCTGCAGCTTTGTGAAAGTTACAGTATTTCTTTAACTAGGAATGTAATAATACTTGGTGAGATTTAAATTCTGATTGGAGCATTTATCTTCCCTGAAATCCTGCTTTGTTTTGCACCTACTTTCCTTCGTAGGTGCTGAAATTATTTTCCCAGGTGACTCATTCAGCTTTCTCTGTGTCTTTTGTTGCACTTTGGGGCTAGGATACTACTTGAACCTAGAGATTCAAAACATGATAGACATGTTCGAAATACTAGATTCTAGATGGTGGGGTTGATAGAAACATACAACACTAACACACTAACTTTTGTTGTTGTTGTTTTTGATATAGGCCCTGATAGAAGAAAAATCCATTTATAATCGTTGTGGCAGTAAAAATATGTACCTGAATATTGCTGTGAACACCCTCAAAAAGCTAAGGGATCATGGTAGTCTTTCTTTCTTAAAGTTTTTTTCAAGAGGGTTTCATATGCAGAAATAAGAATGAAGGAGGAATGGGCTGATAAGAATTTAGTTTTACTTCACTAAAGATAATTCTATATATTTAAATTTGGCTATAGATAGGTATCAGTTGAAAGAAATATGTTTTAATTCTATAGACCTGCTTAGAACTTCAGCAAGAAATCAGAATTTGAAGACACTGTTAAAATTAACATGTTTTTCTGCCTTCAGGGAAACTTAGTGACAGCAAGTCCGTGAGTGAAACTGGATCTATGAAGTCAGAGGAGAAGAGTGGTAAAGAAGGGAGAAAGATGTCACTTTTCCACTTCAGCCTATAATTAGCTTTAATTTACTGAAAATGTTACCCTGCTTTTGATAAAGTTTTATGTATTTGCCATAGGTATTTAGCCAAGGATACAACACAGGCTGCTGCTTATGTCTGAAGATTCATTCTTCTAATAGGGATAAATGTCTCTTCTGGTTGAAAAGAGCAAGTTTAGTATTACATGTGAAGCCTTTCTATAATGACTAAGAATTTCCTACTGTGTAGCTTCTTACTTAGGAGCAATGCTGACCACTACTAATTGTGCTGAGATATGAACATACAATTTTTGCTTTGAAATCTTGATGTACATCATAGTTTATGCTTCATTTTATTTTGGAAGTACTAGTATATCTAAGAATTGCTTAAATTTGATCTAATATTCATTAAGTATGGAAATTTCTCTTTATTTAGACCTTACAAATGCTGCTCTGTATGAGCTTTTGGAAGACTATCTTTTGACTAAGGAACAACTGAATGAAAATAACTTCCCTCGACCACATCCTGAAAAAAATGGTAATGCTGTATTTAATGGGATTATAAAAAAAGTTTTCTATGATGGTAAGTGAAACTGCCTGCTAGAACTTGACTCAGTGGTTACATAGGAGAATAAAATACACAAATAACAATATCTTGTACTACTCCTCTATATTTAGAGGTTGGACTGCAAGTGAATTCTTAAGCTTTCATTACTCGGTCATGAGGTTTCACAAGTATTTTATTCATTAATATTGTTATAACAATGATAGAAGAAACTGCAGATAAACTTGTGGAATTTGTGTGTGTGTGTGTGTGTATTTTTTTTTTTCTCTCCCACCTCCTTTCTCCCCCATTCTCTAGAATGGAACTTGATCTTTTCCATACTTCGCTTGTCTTGGGAAAACAGTGCTTACATATAGATGCTCCACTCTAGCAAATTGCTATACATGTAACTTCTTTATTCCTTACAAGTGAAATACTGTTTCACCTATTCAAAATGTTTGAACTTTTTGACAACCTCACTAGGAAATATGCTTTATCTCTTTTTTTTTTTCTCCCCTCCCCCCTGCAGCTTTCAGAAGACTGTGTTGTAGGTGTGGCAAAGTATACACAGTTAATTCCTCAGGAAAACATATACGTAAAGAAGAATGCAATTACCATTTTGGTAGAGTATTAGAACAAAGAGGCAAGTACAACTGATATTTTAGAAGTCATTATAAGTCATAATACCTGTTCTTAAAAGTGAACTCTGTGAGTATGAAACTTATTTTGCACTGAGATTGCTATCAATGAAGTTAGTTTTCTCTGCATATGCTTTTGTCTTTAAGAACCTTAGACAGTGAACTCTGCTGTGCAGCCAGTTCACCATCCACTTCAGAGTTGTGAGAAATAGGGCTGTGTCTAGTTAGAGGTCTATGATCAGTGGTGTCCCCCAGCGGTCAGTACTGGGCCCGGTGCTGTTCAACCTGTTCATCAGTGACTTGGATGAGGGGACAGAGTGCAGCCTGAGCAAGTCTGCAGATTATACGAAACTGCATGGAGTGACTCACACTTGTTGGAAAGTAGAGCAGACAAGAACCCCGTAAGGTTCAACAAGGACAAGTGCAGGTCCTGCAACAGGGGAGGATTAACCATAGTAACCAGTACGGATTCAGGGTTCACCTCCTGGAAAGCAGCTCCACAGAGAGAGATTTGGGAGTCTTGGTTGACAACAACTTAACCATAAGTCAGCAATGTGCCTTTGTGGCCAAGAAGGCCAATGGGATACTGGCCTGCACTAGGAGGAGTGTTGCCAGCACCTCAAGGGAGGTGATCCTCCTCCTCTCCTCAGCTGTGGTGAGGCTGTACCTGAAGTATTGTGTGCAGTTCTGAGCTCCCCAGTACAAGAGGGATGTGGAGCTTCTAGAGAGGGTCCAGTGTAGAGCAACAAAGATGATTAAGGGACTGGAGCATCTATCTTATAAAGAAAGACTAAGTGAGCTGGGCCTGTTTAGCCAGGAGAAGACTGAAAGGAGATCTGATCAACGTGTAAGAGTACCTGAGGGGTGAATGTAGGGAGGATGGGGCCAAACTCTTCTTTATGGTGGCCAGTGATAGGACAAGGAGTAATGGGTACAAGTGGAAACACAAGAATTCCACCTCCATGTGAGGAAGAACTTCTTTACTGGGAGGGTGATGGAGCCCTGGAACAGGCTGCCCAGAGAGGTGGTGGAGTCTCTTTTTCTGGAGACCTTCCAAACCTGCCTAGGTGCGACCCTGTACCATGTGTTCTAGGTGTCCCTGCTTGCACAGAGGATTTGGACTATATGATCTCTAGAGATCCCTTCCAACCTCAACCGTTCTATGATCCTCTGAACTTGGCATTAATCAAACCCCATAGGAAGAAGATGGAAAAACATTCATTGTGTGGCCTTCCATGGATTTCCAAAAGAGCTTCGCCATCTTTTCTGACACACTCCTAAGTTACTTAGATGCTACACTAACTAAATACATAAAGAGAACCTGCTTCTGGGTACTAGAGATCCCTCTGTCATCCACTGGTTATTTTCTATGTTAAGGAACCTAATTTGGGGAGAGAATTAAGTACAATTTGTCTTGTCATGGCTAGGACCAAACTGTACTTTAAACTGCCTCTTTCTGTAGGGCTCTTTCAGGAGAAAGTAGGGAAAAAAATCGGTAAAGGAAATGCTGCTTGCTATCCATATTGCTTGTTGCTGCAAAAACAGTCTGCTTTTAATCTTCTCTTTTCTGGCAGTTCCAGGTGGCATGGAAAAACGCTATAGCTGTTGTGATGGAATAGTTGGATCTCCTGGGTGTCAGGTTGCAAAGGTATAATATAGCTTTTAGAGGGTTTAAAGGTATAGCTTTTAGAGGGTTTAATGCAATATTTTGTTTTTGCTTTTTATGTCCATTTGACTCAGAGCTGCGTGAAATCATTCTAGGTTCCTTATAAGGAGATATTAATTTACATGGTAAATACTGATCAATAAATACTCTCTCTTTGCTCCATAGTCTGTTAAAGAAAAAAGCTTTCTGGCAACTTGGGTGAGATACATTGAGCAAACTTGATTTTTAATACTTATGGAAACTTTGCAGCTCCATGTTCATGATGGGAGACGGGAGACCCTGGGAGGTTTCATGAAGACATTTACTAAATCACCCCCTTTTGACGGAAACTATGGTGTATACGCTTTGGACTGCGAGATGGTATGAGTAACATAGTTTGGTTCTGTTAACTAAATTGCGGTTTACAAGATGGTTTCCTATGTGCCGCAGTGACTACGTCATGCAGTTCTGCTCTCAATACTACTTATACTGTAAGAAAAGAGCAATTGTTGTTAAATTATGTTAAACATCTGTTAAATTTATTTTTCCCCATAGTGTTACACAACACAAGGCTTGGAGCTTACCAGAGTGACAGTGGTTGATCCTAAGCTGCAGGTTGTCTATGATTCATTTGTTAAACCAGATGGAGAAATCATAGACTACAATATGAGGTAGGTGTATTATTAATCTATATTACATTAAGATTAGACTTGATAAATCAACTGGTAACTATATAAGAAGGAATCTGCCTCTTTAAAATGTTTTTCTAGTAACATAAGGTGAAAATCTTCAGTCAGGAAAGAGACTTTCTGATAAATGCAATTAAGACTATTCTCTTCAAAAAAGTTTCTTTTCACATTTAAAGATTTTTTTTTCTTCTGCTTTCTTTAACCCTAAAAGGGTTATATTGAACCTCCTAGGAATGGCTAAATTTACTAGAAATAAAAATAAATGCAAATATTATGTGCAAATACACTTCAGTGAAAAGCAGAATAGTCATAAACCATGCATTGAGACCTACAGATTGTACAGACAAAAAAGTTTTAACAAGTTTTTGCTGCATTTAGTACAGATCACTTATAAACAGTATTCCTATTTGCTTTTTATCTTTGAGATAAATTATTTGAAAGAAACACTTTATGTATCTGTAAGTTCTTGAAAACTTGCAGCTGCCCACAGATGAAAAGCAGCTTTTGAGCCTCTCTGTAAAAAGTTGGGAGAAAATCAGTGTAATGCACTACTGCAGTGATACTTACTTGCTCAGAGCTCTCTTTGGTCCATGCTTACAAAGAAAAGTTCAATTATTCATAGTAATAGAGCTAAGTTAGTTTAAGGTCATCTAACATAGTTCATCTTAAATTATCCAGGAGAAGAAAGGAATCAAAAAATGCCTTGTCATCTGATTAACTTCAACACTGTGATTTCAAAGCTGGCCAGGGTCAGTTTAGCTGTCAGGAGCAATGGCTGCTATAGATCTTGTACTTCTTGTACTTGAAGAAATACTTCAAGGTATTTCTTTTCCTTCTCACTTGGTGAAACTGTTCAAAATATGTCCTTAGATTCTCTGGAGTAACAGAGCATGATTTGAAGAATGCTACAACGTCTCTTCGGGATGTACAGGCAATACTGCTTAACTTGTTCAGTGCAGATACCATTTTAATTGGACACGGCTTAGAAAATGATTTATTTGCTCTCAAGGTAAAACGTATAAGTTTTAATTGGTCAAAGCAAATTATAAGAGGTAGCTGCTTGGTAAATTACTGTCATCTAATAAATCTTAGGAATGTTGCATTTTAGCAGATGAATATGGAAAATATAGTTGACTTGTCAAACAATAGCTTTGTTAACTGTTGACCTGAATGAGATCACCCTTGTGCTGCTAGCAAGGTATTCATGTTAGTTCATCACATAATTCACATTTCTGACACTATCAAAGGCAGCAGTATTCCATGAGAGATAAAACCTGCAAACTTTTGCGGATATAGTCTGCAAACTTTTCATAGTCTTATGAAAGTCCTGATGAAGGAGGAACTTAGCCTCAGCAAAATTCCTGTTATAGCCTTAACAGGATGAATAGACTTAGAGCATGTAGCCTTAACAGGATGGATTTTTCTTTTGTAACTTCCATAAAAATGGTATGGTATTAGCTGTCCATCTGGAAATAGTAATGTTTACTCTGTAAGTACAAATAATGAATAAATGTCAATGCAGTATATTAAAAGAAAAGAAAAACAGAACATAGCTTTGTACAGTTCTTGCCCGAGAGTTTGTCTTTCTATGATGAACAGAAGAACACAGGATAGATAGTAGACTGTGCATGGCTCAAGGATAAACTTGAGAGCATTTCCCAAAAAGGAAAGGTTTTAGGTGAGGTGGGAAGTAGGTGAAAGATTAACTGGACATGTAATTATTAATGTGCTCTCTGCTCTTTTCCAGCTAATTCATGACAGAATAATAGACACGTCAGTAATGTTTCCTCATCGGCTAGGTTTGCCTCATAAAAGAGCACTTAGAAGTCTAATGGCTGACTACCTGAGGAGAATTAGTCAAGATGATGGTAAGAGCTGAGGGTCTTATTAAGCAATCTGTACATTGTATCATTAAATAGGAGACATGAATAATGCACAAAAATTGCAGATGAAGTAATATACTTGTTCATCTTTAAGGCTTTGTAATGGATACTATTACTTCAACAGTATAGTTGGAGATCATCTATTTCAGTCACTCTAGTGAGTGCAGGACTAATCTAATCACCTAGAGTGCAGGACTGTATTTCAATGGCATTTGAATCTCTCCAAGGATGGAGACTCCACAGCCTCTTCAGACAATCTCTTCCAGTGCTTAGTCATTCTGTCAGTGATGAATTAATCTGTTCTACAATGTGTGCATTTAATAATAATTAAATAGTGCCCTTGAGGATAAATTCTGAATTGACTATTTCATCCCAAATACCTGCTTTTACTCTGATCTCAGATAATCAGTTTAATTGATTTTAAACTGGCAGGTGCACAGTTGTTTTTTCTCCAGAAAGCTTCACTGACAATCTGCTTGCTAACAAGACTTCATTGCACCGTGTTGAACAAAAGTAGATGGCATTTAATATCCATCAGAATGGCTGGGCGCTGCATGTCAAAGCTTGTAATATTCTCTATTTCCCTTACTCTGATAATTTGATACACAGCATAGAGCAGGGAGCTGGTGGGTTGGGAATGTTAAAGATACTTCTGCAAGCATTAAGATCGCTGTCTGAAATGGAAGTTCTGCCTTTAGTAAAATTTTCTGCTTTAGTTTATATTTAATCTTTGACAACTAAAGAGCTACATTCACAACCTGAAATGGCAACTACACTGATCTACAGTTTAAGGAAAAAAAAAAAAAAAAGCAGCAGCCTGACATGTGACTTCTATTCCTTGTGTTTTGCATTGGTTTGTGCTGTTGCTCTGTATTGTACAGGAGAATATATTTCATCTAAGTCTGGATTTGCATTATTCACAAGCATAGGATTAATAAATGAAACATCCTTCACTACCATGCAGTGTTAGGATTGTGACAGTTTAACTTGTCAGTGGATTTAATCCACCGACACCTTTCTTGACCGTCAGAAAGTAATGAAAATAAATGATTGTGAATGAACTTTAAAGCATCTCAGCTCAAGGCCTTTTGATTTCAAAGATACCAGAGCTGCAACTTTGAAGATATTTTGACTTGCACTATATGAAGTAGATGATCTGAATCAAAAACCTGCATAATATATTAAGCTAGAAAACTAAGGTTTAATATCAGCCTTGCCACACATCTGACTATATGAAAAAAAAAAAAAAAAAAAAAACTCACAGAGGGACTGTTATACTTCCTTCCACAGTTAAAATAGTAGCTAAAGAGTTAAATGGCAAGGTGGAGCACTATTCACATGTAGTAAAGTAGTGAAGATAATAAGAATTGAAGCTATCTTTGAGGAAAGACAGTGTCCATGGTGAGGGGAGCGAGGACCCAGGTTGGGGCAGGGGGAGGGTAAGAGCAGAATCTTTATTTATTTGTTTTTATTTTTTATCATAATGAGGAATAAATTAATTAGTTTCTATCTAAGTCCTGGCAATTCTCAAATTTCAGTTCTTAAAGTGCATTTAGGGAGAAGGTGGCTAGAAACTGCAAGGTTATTATCAGCTGTTTTCTTATCCTGGAAACAGAAAAACTTACAAACTGCTCTATTTCTGTCATAAGCTGTGACACTTTTCAGCTAACTTCTACAGTGATGCTCTTATTTTGCCTTTAAATTTATTTTTTACTGTGTGGGTGCGGGGCTTTTTTGGTCTACTCTTAATAGAAACCTTACCATACAGAACGTATTGCAAGAATAACTTTTGCAAAGTCTATCAGTCTATTGTGTCTATCACAAGTGTATTTGTGTAATGCACATGTGTTGTGCCAGCCTGAATTGAACAACTTGTCTTTAAACATTTGATCTTTGCTGTCAAATCTAGGATTCCACACAAGAGGACTCATTTGAAACTGACATTTACAAGAGAAAGATAAAAGCCTATATGTCTGTAGTGCTTAGGTCCTTTCCTGCTTTGGGAAATGGAACATCTTAAATCTCAGAACTGTGTTTTCCTACAATTAACTTGTTTCATATGTTGTTGATACAGTTATTCTTGTGCATGAAGCTGTGACTTTTTTTCATGAGATGAGGAAAACATGTAGGCCTATAATGCTAAGAAACCTTTCCTTTAGCTTTTTGAGTTGCTTGCAAAGAACATAGAATGGAGAGGGGATTTTTATGCTTTCAGATGAAAATGCTGAACTGAATTTTAATTCTGCAACTTTTCTTACTAACCAGTATCTGTCCCAAAACTGTTAATCTGAGATGTTCTTCTGAAATGTCCCTCTATTCAAAATATTTGAGCTAACATAAAATATACAGCATTTAATTTCCCTTGATTAGCTCACTTAGAATTTAATAATGTAGACAAATTCAAGTGTATCAGTATTAAGTGAATTTCTCTTTATGAATAAAGACTGTTAAATACTTGAGGACTGTTCCTCATGTATCCTGGGTTGCTAGGATCATGCATCTGTGGCTTTCACTAGAGAGTGTTTAAACTTTCAGTAGTCAGCTACAGTTTTCCTGACAATCAACATTTTTTAGCTTGGCTTGCTGTTAGAGAAGGTTTTCTGATGCCTATTTTCATTGCTAGTTAATGAGAACTGTATGCATTTATTTAGATGATTGTCATTGTGTTTCAGAAAATTTGTGCTAATCTTTCTACTGTCGTGTCAATAATTACAAAAATGAGATAAAGCATGCATATACTTGTATTGCCAGTCATTGATTTACCAAGTTTTGAAGGAGCCTACAATAAAAATGCATATATTAAGTCTTTTTTTTTTTAAGTTTAGAATCTAACTCTATTCTGTTAAAATATAGTGCAGTATTTGAGAAGATATTTGTCCTTACCTAATGAAGGTAGAGACTGATTGTCTCATTGCAGTACCAATTTGTCCTCAGTTACACTTTAAACTTCTGATTCGAAAGCACAGGATTTGGAGGAGAATCTGGTTTTCCAAAGCCAATTATTTTGGCAAGTTTAATTCCTGTTCTGCTTTATACTGAAGCAGGATGTAGTGTGCAGTACTACCAGACAAATTGGACTGTGAAAAGTATGGTGCTATTATGTTGGATTCTAGTAGCAACAATTTGCACCAAAAAACAGTTGAATACAAAGTATTAAGATGTGCAGCAGCTGTTCAGCTTCATCATGAAGAGCACTACCTTTGTTTTATGAAGGAAGTACATAATTTAACACTTCATATTTTTTGTTCTCCCTAGTTGGTGGTCATAATAGTAGTGAAGATGCTATTGCTTGTATGGAACTAACACTTTGGAAGATCAAGGAAGATAAAGGAAGAAAATGGTGACAATTATAGCTTTGGAGGAGCAAGAGAGGAAAAACATCTCACTGTTCGTAAATGCTTCAATACTAACCATTTTCTTTGGTGTCCAGAGTTGGCTATGGATGCTTTAACAGGAACACCTACTTTTGAAGCTTAAAAGGCACACAGAAAATATGAACGCACTACATACTCAAAGTAGCTTACTTGCATGTATTTTTGTGTTAAATAGCAAGCCTGTGCAGTTTTGTTAAAATAATAATGCTTTTGTAATCACCCTCTGTGTAGCTGAAAACTAGCAAGTGTAATAAGTGGCTGTGAAAGAAACTTCTGGATCTAACTTTAGTTTTGTCAGATTTGTTCAGCATCTCTGAAGTAAAATTTAAGAGCTCTAACTTCTGCAGTGTGATTGTAGGATTTAAGATGAATGCTCTCCTTCTCCCTTTCCCCTACCTTTCGTTTCCACCTTTTTCATCTGCTTCCACAGGAGACAGGCAACAACTCTGTCCCTTTTAACAAATTCTTGGGTGGGTTGTTTGTTTTTTGGGCCACCTGTTTCTTTCTGGGAAGGGAGTAGAGGCTCTGAGGGG